GAGATGGCGCGGCAGGGGGAGGGAAAGGCGGCGTGGAAGAGGCAGACAGAGAGGGCCCACTCCTACTCGATCGCCAATGGGAGTTTGTGCGGAGTGAACGACGAAACACGGCAGGCGAAGAGAGCCCTCTCCTCGGTAAGGCCAACAAACGCAAACCCCTCCTTCAGCCTGCGAGTGGCGAGGGAGAGGTCCGGCTCGACCGACGTGTCGCACGCGCCTAAACGTAGCGAAGAACGAGTGCGAATCTCCGTCTCGGCAGATTTCGGCGAATCTCGGCGAATCTCGGAGGATTTCGGCGAATCTCGGCAGATCTCGGAGAGCGGCTCTCGCGCCCCAGCGCGAGTTGCAGCGCGCGCCGCTCATCTGCCCCGCCAGCATCTTGGTGGCGGTACCGCGCACGTGCATGGCGTAGGCAGTCGCGTTCATCCGCGTGGAGCGTGGCCACGCGGGTCCAAACCAAAGGTAGGCGGAGGTCACGCGCTGCACGGGCTCGCGAAAGGTGGTGAAGAAGCGGCCGCGATAGGCGTCCCACGCCTACCGCAAGGAACCAGAAGATGCAGCCGAGATGCAGTCGTGTGCCGCTGTGGAAGGTGGGTAATAGCGCCGCTGGCGTTATCTCCGAATGCGCGCCAAAGTTAAAGGCGCCCCCGGCGCCCTTGGGCTGCTCGTCCTTGCCCCAGAACCGGCAGTGAAACCAGTGGGCCATCGGGAACCGGCTGAGGAACTGAAGCTCGGACGCAGCGCCGGCGCAGCGATGGCCAGCCGGCATTTGCCGCCCGAGCTCGTCGCGCAACATCCAGCCATCCCGGGTGCAGGAGGGCATGGTCGCGTCTGGTCGGAGCGTCGAGTTGCTCGCATAGTGCGCCAATGTGGTGCCGAGAGATGTCCCCCCTTTGGGAAAGTGTACCCATGCAATCTGCTCCGAGGCGGGCCGGCTCGCGGCGCAGCCGAGGTGAGAACCAGGCACCGGCTGCGGCATGCCGTGAGCGGTTGCGTGCCTAGGTGCCCGCCGCAAACACGCGAAGCCCTGGCAGGTCGCCGAGCCCTTCCCTCAGTGCCTTTAGCACTCTCGTGACGTCTGCTGGCACACCGGCCCACTCCTCCACTCTCCATTGCACCTCATTCACGACGCTCATGAAGTACGTGCCTAAGTCTATGTATCCTCTCACACACATCTTCCTTTCTATCATGCACTCCTCCGCGTGCAGCCTTGCCGTTAGCGTCTGCGCAGGTGCATTCATCCCCTTGGTGAAGCCGCTCTGCGAGCCCGGTACCGTGTGTGCTGCCGCTCTGTCGTATTCTGGCAGTAGCATGCGCATCAGCCCCTTCATAGATTGTGGTTGTACCCAAAGGTCCCGCCTCCTCTCGAGCTCCTTCGGATCCTCCCTCGGCTTCATTGCCATCATAGCAATCCAGTCGTTCCACACTTTGGGATACTGCTCCTCCCGCACAATCTCCTGCAGCAGCCTCCAGTACTCCCTCTGCACTCCCCTCGGCGAAAGTCGGATCAGGTACCCGTCTAGTTTGTCGCTGCCTATGGCCTTTCCTTTCTTGAATTTCCTGATCGCCGCCTCCACGCCGACCACGTCAACGCGTTAGCCACGAGCCGTCCTGTCCCCTCCACCCCCGGGGGCTGGGCCTCCGCCCTGGCTGGTTTTGTCATTGCTAGGAGCGCCTCGACCGCCGCCATGTCCGCCTCCCTCCGCGCGTTGATCTCCTTCCCCCTCCTCGCCGCGGCGTCGCGGACTTCGTCCCCTCGCACCACGTGTCTTTGCCAGACCTGCTCTCCCGTCGTCTGGCAGGTTACCCACTCACCTCCCTCATACATCGCAACCAGCTCCCCCCCGCCCGCTCTTCTGCCCATCTCCTTGTTCAGAATCTCGAAGACTCTCCTGGCATTGTTGCCGCTATTCTCTGTCGCAACCTCCTGCATCACCTCTGTGAGTTTCTCCCCCCCCGTCCGCGGGCACAGGAGGAACTCCTGTTCAGCGTCGCGTCGTTCGCGCTCACAGACCGCCAATGCCCTCGCGCGCCTTTCTCTATTCGCCAGCTGCGGCTGAGCCTCGAGGGCCTTCCAGAGCTGCGCCAGGTTTGGCTCCCTCCAAAAGCCCTCTCCCTCCCATTCCCTCCTATATCCGTCGCTCATTGTGCCGCTCCATTTCTTGACCTCGTGCCGTATCCTGAACCACTTCGCCACTTTCCATCGCAGCCTCTCTCTCTTGGACTTAGGTGGCGGCCCTCGGCCACCCGCCCCCTCGCTTGCCTCCCCGCCTCCCGCGGGCCGCTCCTCTCCGCCCGCTTCGTCATCGCCCTTTGCCCTCCTGGTCGCGACCGCCGCCCTAGCGTGTCGCGTGAGCACCCTCGTCAGCCTCTCGAGCCGTTCTGAGGCGCTCAGCTCCTTCTCCGCATCGGCCTCCACCTCGTCATCGAACACCTCCTGTACCGTCTTTGTGAATTTCTCCTCCACCTCCCGATCCATGAATGTGCTCACCCCCCGCTCCCGAAACTCGCGAGGCCCTGGTGCCTGGTGGTGCGCATTCACCGATATGATATACATGCGAAGATCTACGATTGTACTTTATTGACCGCACAAATCACACACACAATCACAGACCGACGGAGAGGTCATAGAGCTCCTCACGAGCTATACGAGTGTTATATAAAAGCCGTTCACTGCCGTTCCGTACGCC